GGTGTGTCTGTGCACCGTTGGCCGGAGATCCCCCCCCGTCGGCGCGGTGGCCCGTGGCAGCACCGCCCCAGCAGCGCTCCCGCTCACAGACCCACAGTGCACCCCCAGACCCTTCGCAGCGACGGGCGCACACCCTCCGACCCCCCCACACCCCCGGGGACAGTTCACATTTGCCCAGACTCCTGTCATCCTGGAAAAAGCTCCGACGGCGGCAGCCGTGACCCGGGCCCAAAGGCAGCCGCGTGCGCTCGTCTGCTTGTGACTGGAATGATCGTAACGGATTAAAGCCCTCCCCAGAACGCACTGAGAACCTGACCTATAAAGAGAGCTTTGGGATTGGAGTTCACCTTCCCCCAATGTTTTCTTTAAACTGCTTTCGTATTCAAAAAGCTGTCCGTACTGCATGAGTGACTATGGCCATGGGCACGGACAAGAGACAGAGGCTGCACCACAGTCATTGCACTTGAACCATTTGCTTTTTTTTTTTTTTTTCCTTTTTTTTTTTCCCTTTTTTTTTTGTGTGTTTTTTTTTTTTTTTTTACACAGTTCCTGTGAAGACACCTCTTGAACAAGCAAAAAGGTGTAAGTCATTTTAATTGGAGGACTTGTATGAGTAGTGATTACTTTTTGGCATTGAAATATGAGCCTAACTTACCTAGATTTTTTTTTTTTCCTCTTTTTTTTGTGTGGTTTTTTCTTTTTTTTTCTGCAATGTACCCACGCGTCAGGGAACAGCTTTGCTACAGTCTCTGCCTCAGAGAAATCTGCGTTCTCCTACAAGGCCAGAGGCCAATACTGCTCACAAATCTCACCCGTGCATTTCGGACCTCAGCCTCTGACCCCCTGGCACCCCGGCATCGGGTGCGAGCTCCCAACACTGGCCCAGGCGCCACTTCCAGAGGTGACTGGAAGGAGCTATGGGCAGTTTTGTCCTCCCGGAGTCCAGACAGCCCTAGGAAAGTCCTGTTTGAGTCTTTACTCCAGAACCTTGAAGCTGCTGAAGTCTGTACTGATGGACGCTGCTGCTTCCCCCGCGGTGCTGATAGTGTTGTGCATTGGAAATCACTGCCCCC